GAGGAAATCTGCTGTTTAAATGATAGTCTAGAGTCAATCAGCACTCCGAGGTTTCATACCTTTTATGAACTAAGTTCAGAGTTCAGAGTCTCCAACCTCCAGGCCTGTTGTGTGATCATGGGATATTTTTGTTGCCCGGTGTCTCCTCACCAAGAGTAACTCTGTTTTGTCAGGGTTCACTTTTAGCCAACTAGCATCCATTCTATGAGGTCTGCTACGAAACTGTTGATGTGGCATGTTGGGTCTGTAGTATCTGTAGTATCTGGAGCAAAAGAGAAGTAGAGTTGTGTGTCATCAGTGTAACAATGATACCTTAGACCATGTCGCCTGATGATATCCCCCAGTGGTAGCAAGTAAATTGCGAATAGCCTTCCTTGTGGAACTCTGCAGGCCAATTCTGTTGGTGCTGATGAGCTTGACCCTTATGTTACTCTCTGAGATCTATCAATGAGGAAAGATTTAAACCAGTAAAGGACTGTGCCCCACAAATGTGCTACAAGCATTCTACTAAAACCCTATGGTCAATGGTGTCAAATGCAGCTGAGAGATCCAAGAAGATTAGGATGGAGCAATCACCCTTGTCTCTTTTGCCATAAGGAGATCATTTAGCACTTGGACTAGTGCTGTTTCCGTACTGTGGCGGCATCTGAAGCCCGACTGGAAAGTATCAAAGATGTTTTTTTAACCCCTTGTGTGAAGGAATACCCCAGATTTCGTTTATGGATAATTGTTCATTTGTTCGTATCCAGGTTAGGTTCCCGAATGAGGACCACCCCAGAACCTCATTAGAACGTGGCACACTAAGTATCCAGCACGAAAACCGCAAAGGAAACAATTAATAGAATGCTCCACTGGGTAGTCGCCATTTCGTGGAACCGAACGCACGTGGCCAACAGAATGAATGGTGGCCATTTTGTCTCCCGAACGCAGGCAGTGGAACTTGGTCATTAAGTGCCTGGAACTGATTTCGGCCAGGCACTCCCGCGAACACTGGTGAAGATAGACCTGCTACCCGTTCAAATTCCTGACCACCTATACCATCATTTAAGATCTCTACATACTACACTATATCCGTGTCTTTTTCCTTCCCTCCTCCATATCGCTCTGAGCGTGGGAATTCCTTCATAGGTGCTGCTCCCTGATCCTACTATCTACATCCATCGTACCACCAGAAAAGAAAAGTCTCTGTTTTTTTAAAAGTTTTAGCAGCCACATACTACAATTGCAAGTACTGATATTCCACCTAACCCTCTATTAAACTTTAATATTAGTTCTTGGCTTCAGGAAAACTATGACAAACTTCTCCAAGAGTTTAAAGGTTTGATAGATAGATAGATGGAGCAAAATACAGCTTTCTTGGCTTGGGAGGATAAATACTCTTAGATCCTTTTTGCTTCCTAAATTGGAATATCTCTTTTGAATAATACCTCTTAGAGTCCCCAGAATAAGGTTAAGGTCATTCCACAGACTATTCGTACTATATGTTTGGGGCGGCAAAAAACCTAGAATTGTGCTTGAAACAACGACAACTAGAACAACAGAGGGGGATTATTTTTTCCCAATGTTTTTCTTATTCATGACAGTGTTATGTTTTTTCATTTTCTTAAATTGGGAAACAGATATTCTTTTACGAAACCCTGGTATGTGTATGAAAGAAAAGTGTGTGGTAAATTTGATCCTTTCCATTTTTTTTTTGGATAGATAAAAACATCTATAGAAATTTGAATATAGCCAACTTAGTAATTAATCAAGTCTTTTACTCTGTAGGTCCAATAAATAAAGTTTTTATTTAGACAATCAACTGCCGAAGCTCCGAAGTGCCAAAGTGTTGAAGTGATTCGGATTTCTGAAAAGTGGCAAAACAAGAGAGAGGGAGGGAAAATTACGTGAATGATGACAGGAATCTTGACCAATAAGCTAATTCCTTTTGTGCAGCGCCTATGAAGGAATTCCCACGCTCAGAGCGATATGTAAGAGGGAAGGAGTATGCGTCACATTGCGGCTGCCAGTGGACCCTGAAGGACATGTAAGGGGTCTTTGCTCTGTTGCCGCCTGGCATGGGATGTTTGTCCCATGCAGTCTCACGCAGTCTCTACTGCACATAACTGCATCAGACAAACATCCTTAGCCAATTATTATATAGGATATATAAAGTAGGCATGTGCCATTCGTTTAGTTCTGAATGTACATTCGTACAAATGTTATGCCATTCGGACATTCGGATGCTTACGAATGTCCGAAGTGCCGAAGTTCCGAAGTGACGACGTTCAGCAGTTCCAAAGTGCCGAACCGAATGCCATTGGTCTGAATTGCTGAAGCAGACACATTTTTTTACTTACCCGAATTTCCGAACTGAACCAAACTTTTTGCCCATGCACATCCCTAGTGGAAATGTATTGAATTAAATAATCTTAAATTGGAAGTTAGTAAAATTCTTACAGACTTGAAAATTTAACATATTCTTCCTCACCTTGCGGTCAGCGGCCGTGCATCTGCATGACTAACACTTGCGGCATGTTAATGGACGCCGGCAGCTGCGGATCCATGTCTGCTCAAGTGATTGATGACGTCGGCATGCATGTGATGTCACGCACGAACCGCGCACGCACGTTTTGGGGTTAAAGAGCGATCTCAGCCAATTGGAAAGATAAAGCAGGTATTTAAACCTAAAATTACCTTTCCTCATTCCCCTTTCTTACTTTCCCTAGTGGTTGTCCGAGTGCGTGTTCCTGATTCAAGTTTCTTCTGTTTTTTTACTTTGGCTTTGATATTGACTTCTCTGTACTTCTGGTATCCCTGACCTCTGGCTTTCCTTTATCGTTGTGTCCCTATCTGGGTCCCTGACCACGGCTAGCATCCTGACTACTCTTTGGTACGTTAGTCCGGCCATTCTAAGGCCCGGTAATACGTTACCTATTAGTCATCAGTGTAACACAATTCTACGTGCTGGATCATATAGTAATCCTAAAAGAAAATTTATATTACGCTAACTCTAGAGAGATTTCTTTTCCATCTTGACCTCCCTTGTCTATCGAAATCATTGGAGAATGGAGGAATCTCCCAGCATAGAAGAAATAAAGGAAAAAGTATTATATTATACTGATGGTAATATAACGAAATACAATACGATTTGGAATGTGGAATGTTCTCATATTTTAAGAATTGAATTATATACTTATATCATATACTACCTGACATTGCTACTTATTATTACTCGCTGATTTTTTCCCATAGGTTGGTCGCCTAGGAAAATGTTGTTTTTGAAATAATTCTTTATTATAAAATACTGCATTTAAGATTGGACTTCAAGAGTTCTTCCTGCCCTCACCAGGTGTCTCAGTACCTTTGAGGTACAAATGTTTGTGCCTTTCATATAATGTATTATTTATTATGTGTGTCTTTATATTTATTTGTGTCTCTTTTTTTTCTTGATCATAATAAGCTTGCAATTCATGTTTAATGATTTCTTCAATATGATGAATCTAAGCATCTATATTACTACATGAATTTTGTTATATCTCTTGTGACCAAATAAGTACTTTAATTTATATGTTTAAAACCAAATTAAAAAAAAAATTGTATAAACGTTGTGGTTTTCGTGCAAAATCACGCAAACGGATACCGGCCTTTGCCACAATTTCCGTAGAACTATTTTGGGGTTTGACCTCGTAGCAGGCCGGTCAAAACATCCCTGCAATGGCAATTCAAAATTTCCGAACCGATCTGAGTGATTTTTGGATAAGCTTGACACTGAGATCAGGGCCGTCCGGGGTTGTAACTTTTGCGGGGTTTCCATGGATTTTGGTGTGTTTGCAAACTGTTATGTTTTTCTGTACCTGGAGATAATTGAGTTTGTACAGTTCCTGACTCAATTATCTCTCAGGCACAGAGGAGGTGTTTGTTACATGTATACATTCTGTGTCTGTGTCTGCATTAAACAGTTCTACTCCCAGCATTAAGCCTTGGCTCATGTGTGGGGGTATTTACTTTCAGGATTATTGGAGCTGTGATATTTGGGGAAAAAGGAATCCGTGGCGGTGATATATTGGTGGTCCACCACACCTTGACATTGCCTGCAGAATGTGCTTCTTCCCATAATAAAAATCTATCCAGGTAGTACTACTTCCATTTTCATGTTTTGAAACAGATGTTGGTTAGCTGGGCAGGAAGTAATTATTAACAGAGTGAAAAACATAAATTAGAACACAATCAATCTATAGAGATCCTTCCATTTAAGAAATTATATATTTTTTTAAATGTAACTTTAAGATTGAACTAAAAATATTATACCACAATTAGGTCTATTTTACTATAATTACGTCTATAGTTAAAGTGCATCTGTCATGTTCTGGAGTCTTTGCATATTGTGCAAAAACCCTGAAAGTGACTCATCCAAAGTGGTCTGGTGGCTGGAGGATGCAGGGAAGATAAGTTTAACTTACCTCAAGCTGTCCCTCAAAGCCGCTGCCATCTCTGTCCTGAAGGTCCTCTTAAGCTCCTGGTGCATGCACAAAGTACAACACTGGTATCTATGGAAGGTCCCACAAGACTGCAAGGTTCTCTATACACAATGTCTGAATCCCACTGGGATTGGACAAAAGTTGACATCAGAGCTCGGCTTTTTGTCAAGTTTTGTCAACCTCAGGCTTGCCCATAAAACAAAGTAATCCCTACTTTTTTTTAAAATTCTTTTTTTTTGCATGCAGGAGAAAACAGACATTTAGACAATGACATTTTACCAATTATTCATGTGATAATACAGGTGGTTGTGGCAAGAAATGTCGCTAGGGCAGCACATTTTATATTATTAGGTACATGAGAGAAGCATGAGGCTGGAGAGAAAATATGAGTTACTATCTAAACAGACGGTCTGGCCTCACTTGAGAGAATACATGTTATATAATATAGGTAAGCTCGTAACAGATATATGGCAATCAGAGAGTAATTGAGAGCTGATATTGTACGCTGCTTATACTAAACACATGAGACTGACCAGAGAGAGATAAAGAAATACCACTGGGTGCTATGAGAATCGACTACAGGTCGGCAGGTGCCTTGCATAAAATTAAACATTATAAACTGAGCACAGCTGACACAAGGAAGGCTGGTAATAGAACCGCGTCTCTGTAGAGGGGGTCCGTGGCCTGTTTAGCCAATACCCACAGACGGGGTGACATTGTCATTAGGGAGCTGTATTCCAGTTGAGTCTGCCAACAAGGGCCGTCGGTCGTTTCTCCGGACCTGGCAGGTAGTGTGCAGCTGGATGCTACTCTTTACTGGGGCGGATCGGCACTGCTTTTTGTTCCTTCGAGCTTGGCCGCCATGCAGGGAGGTGGAGAGCCAGTATGCCCACTAATTTGGGCATAGAGGAAGGCGCAGGTTAGGGGGATCATTGGAGCTGTAGTGAGCTGATTGTGTTGAGTTCACCCTTGGATCAGTCGGCAGAAGTGTGTTCACCGTCTTGATTTTTGGTGTGCTGTCCTGTGAGTGGTCTCGATATAGTGAACCTCGCAGGCCTCCCCTCCTTTGCTTGGTGATGCGCCGAGCGGGTCGGGGTCTTCCCTTCCCACCTTTCCACCGCTTGGAGGTGTTTCAGGGGTCCCTTCGCTTGCCGGAGTTCAGTTGAGCAGTGGTAGGTGCTCTCTGGCCTGACCGGGTGTGTGTACGCCTCTCGTGCGGTATAGACTGGTGCAGGTATGTATCTGTTCAGGGTCGACTGTCATGCTGAGGGTGCTTTGGTCCCCTCACTGACCTGTCGTTGTGTAGGTAGCTTGTGCTTGTGTTCTAGTCGGTCCAAGAACTGTCTGCATATGGCCTCAAACCTTGCTTGGAAGGCTGCTGCCCAGACGCTGGGGGTATGCTCTGTATGGGCAGTGGTGCCGTCGACCATTTTGGTCAGGACTCGTGTCTCATGCTTTTCAGCCGTTCTTCCTGGAGCAGCTTGTGGCTGGGTACTCTCTGTTTGGCTGTGTGGACCGGGATGCCCCCACCGGTCCTGGGGGGGGGGGAAAGATGTGTCACTGGAGTTCCAGTCCCTGCTTTTGTGCCCAGAAAGCGGCTGTCTCTCCGTGACTCAATCTTAGGTAGGCCGCAAGCCTCGGTGTGCCAGGTCGGCTGTGCCGGAGCTCGAGAGAGGTATCGTTTGGTGCAGCAGCCTCTCCCGGTTGTTACTATCGTGGTCTGCGGCTTGTGAGTAGTGACGGCTGGGTATAATACTCAGTTTTCTGTCCCCAGACGTGGGAGCTCTTGCTGAACACGTCTGGGCTGCTTGGTTGCTTGGCTCCGCCCCCAGTAGTAGTCCCTACTTTGTCTCATGTTATCTCTGGATTTCAGTGAAAGTCCAAACAATACTTTATAAGGAATATCGCTTTATGAAATACTGAAATATGACAGATCCTTTTTAAGTAAGACATTACAATTTCAGGTTTAAACCAGTTTTACAAATATATAAATAAAAACTCGTTTTTTTTGGGGGGGGGTTTTTTCATGTAGTTATAATGTATTAATTATGTGTATAGTATGTATGAGTTCAGAGCTCTCCAGAAAATCTCGTTCTTAATGTTAACATTCATTGTTTCTGAGATAGCAGAAATGAAAAGTACCCCATGGCTCAAAAATCTAAATGTTGCAACAAGCAGACCTCCCACTGCTTCTGGTTAGATTGCTATAAATATTTCCACCGTATTGTATGACAGTACATCTGTATGATGACCCCAGGCTGCAGCAACTCAAATGATTGGCACTGCACTGTAAAATCTATTTTCTGTATCGTAAAGGAATGTGTAATGCACCTCAAAGGTGCTGCAAATCCTATAGGGGAAATAGCTTGCCACCCTCCATTAGGAAGCCCACTCGTTTAAAATAATTATGATTTACAGTTCTCTTTCCCAAGCGCCGCTACTTTTTATTACATAAAAAAATATAAAAATGTAATTAAATTATCTTGTGACACTAAACAGGGACAAGGAAGAATTTACGTATACCTCTAATGTTAAAGCAAGGGTTGCCCAAAAGGTAGATCCCTGGATGTCTTAAAACTACAACTTCCACGATACCTTGTCATTCTAAAGACAAGCAAAGCATCATGGGAGTAGTAGTTCTACGATATCTGGGGATCTACCTTTTGGACACCCCTGTGTTAAAGCATAACTTAACTCAGAAATTAAAACAGAACAAAACATGCTTGAGTTCTATCCCACCACATGAGGTCTATGGCTGATTTTATGATTTTACAGCTCGGAAATCGAATGCGTTGTTTGATATTTTTTGTCTCCTTCAAGTTGGAAGCGTGTAGTGCCAAGATGTCACACCTCTACTGTGAGCAAAATTAGAAGTTTCGCAACCTGTGAAGCTCCCTGTGATGCAGATTGCTGTGTTATCCCATCCAGTGCAGTTTTCTACATCAGTTCCATGGAATGGTCCATGAATTGTTGCAACACCAATAGCACAGTTCTCTCTATCAGAGCTTTATCTTGGGCAACTATATAGTCCTTCTGTTATCTCTAGTTGTTACATCTGCCTTCCGACCTCTTCTTGAGTGATCTCAACTTGCTGAAACTTTTGATACTGTCTCCTACTCTATTTCTGCCTGTATCTTTTAGTACTTTTCCATTGGATTATCTATTGCGATTATGATTAGTCTTGGAAGTCTGCGTCCATCATGACTTCCTCAGACAGTATCTCTTTCTGTTATCCCAGGCTCCAGCTATATGTCCATTTCTATCTGACAGTACATCAGTATGAAGGATAGTCCTTGTTTGCACAGTGTTCTGGATAGCAGCCAGATTGTGATGATAGCCTTTAAAGCAGATTAACAGTTGTTTCAAGATACTGGAATTCAAATTCATTTTTACTTTCTAGAGAACTCATAATTCTTCTACCACACGTATAATGAACTCAATTAACCCCAAACTCTATCGTAATCGATATAATCTCTCCTCTTCAATGATTCCTGCATCAGTTCAACGAAAGCGAAAAATGCAGTGCACGATGTGCGACAGGGAATAAGAAATGTATTACATTTGTAAAAAGTACTTTTTAAAATGTATGTCATAACAGGCAAATTGACCCTGTAAAGGAACACTATAGCCTTAGGAATACGAACATGTATAGTGTTCCACTACTAATATGTGGCCCGTCCCCCCTCACCCCGCAGTGAGTACTTAGAAGGTGCGTTTACTTAGTTGACATCCCACAGTGTGCTGGTCTAAATGCCAAAGCATCACCTTCTTGGCTGAGGTCAACAATCTTGATTATCTCAGCCAGTCCAATGCCTGTGAGGGTAGTGCGCATGCACGGTAAAACACTGCAATTCACCAATCAAATTGGTCCCTGTTAGATCATCTGATTAGAATAGCCCCATTTGTGCTGTTTAATGCTCGACATGGCACTGTGTAGGAAAAGGAAATGGCTGTTTGACTGCCGGATGATGCTGAAGATCCCTAGAGACATAAGGAAATAAAAACCAGATTAATGAAAAATCTTTAATTATAAGTTAATAAAAAAAAACTGATTTAAATATTGGCATCATGAAGCACAGGTATATAGAAGAAAGACAAACAAATACTTCATACTTATATAGTTCAACTGTACCATGAGGTTTGTTGACCTTGAAATGGTAAGAAAATTGTAAAAGCGTGAAACTAAGTGAGTTAAAAAAAGGCTGGATTCACAAACGTCCATTTGGGGGAAATATTCCACAGATCAGCTCTCTCTCCTGATTAAAAACAAATAAACTAACAGATTATAAACTCAAGTGCCTGGAACACACTGCAGCCAATCTTTAAATGGATGGATTAAATATTGGCCGATCTTCCTGGCACCGACATTTAGCAAAGTGTTATAAAAAATGGTCAGGCGAGTATCGTCTACTGGACAACATAAAATGTTCTCTTAATGGATTCCGGAGGTGCATGATGACTTGTTCTGGCTCATATGGGTAGACAACAAAATGTGTTAATAGGTTGGTAACGTGGAAGCTCTGTCATCACAATCCTAAGTAGTGATTTAGCAGGGATACAAAGAGATCTGTGCCTATTGGTGATACATATCTCCCCTTTCTGTTCTTTCTCAATCTGATTTTTATTGACAGAGGATGCTGTTATATTGCATCATAACTCGTAAAAGCCTTCTAGATACTACAGAAAAAGTTATTCATCAATGTGCTAGTTGTCAAGATGTCAGTAAGCTTGAGGGTTTATGTAAAAAAATTTGACCACATCACCCCAAACAAAAACATATCTAACAGAGAATTTTTTTTTAATTATGGTTTCTTCTGACCTAAAATTTTACATTAATTTAGAAAATTTTGAATTCTGACATTTCACACTTTACTGTAAATATTTACTAAGAAAATATATATATTTATCTGGTCTAACAATATTGAGTTCTATTTACAAAACTTTAGTCGAAGACAAAATAAAAATAAATAAATTATCATTGCATACCTCCCGAGTGTCCTGAGTCCTGGGAACAGTCATGATTTGCGAGATGTCTCATACTGTCTGGAGTTATAGCAAATGCACGCTGACTGACATACTTGTTATGAGAGTAACACGAAACTGTAAGTTGTGGTGACTTGAAGGAACACTTCCACCCCACAACAACCACAGTTTAATGGAGTTGTTATGGGTGCAAAAGTGTCTGGGCCTACACCCTGTTCCAAATTATTATGCAAATTCTATTTAAGTGTCACAAAGATTAAATATTTTGTTTTTCAGTTTGACTCATGGATGGCATTGTGTCTCAGGGCTCTTTTGATCACTGAAAACAATCTCTGACACCTGTGATAATTAGATTGCCAGGTGAGCCCAATTTAAGGAAAAACTACTAAAGGAGTGTGTTCCACATTATTAAGCAGAGCACCATTTTCATGCAATATGGGGAAGAAAAAAGATCTATCTGCTGCCGAAAAGAGTGAAATAGTTCAATGTCTTGGACAAGGTATGAAAACATTAGATATTTCACAAAAACTTAAGCGTGATCATCGCACTATTAAGAGATTTGTGGCTGATTCAGAGCACAGACGGGTTTGTGCAGATAAAGACACATTGAGGAAGATTTCTGCCAGATCCATGCATCGGATCAAGAGAGCAGCTGCTAAAATACCATTACATAGCAGCAAACAGATATTTGAAGCTGCTGGACATCAAGGCGTAGAGTCCTCCAGAGTCTTGCAACTGTGCATAAACCTTCTATTCTGCCACCACTAACCAATGCTCACAAGCAGAAATGGCTGCATTGGGCAGAAAAATACATAAAGACTAATTTTCAAACAGTCTTGTTCACTGATGAGTGCCGTGCAACCCTGGATGGCCCAGATGGATGGAGTAGTGGATGGTTAGTGGACGGCCACCCTGTTTCAACAAGGCTCCGACGTCAGCAAGGTGGTGGT